GGTGTTTCTAAGCTGACCTGCTGAGTGCAAAGTGGCAGCAACAGATAGTAGATCCCTGGCTAAAGGGAGCACAGAGTGGTCTAGAGACACGAGAGGACTGGCTGGGGAAGGAGGCTTTGGGGAGAGAGAGAGTAGCTGACGGGATCCTAGTTCTGGCTCATCCCCGATAAGGGAGCAGCCATCTGGCGCAGGCACACCACTCCCCCAGGCAGCAGTAGCCTGAGAGGACCCAATAACCCCACCCCCAGGAGAGACTCTGCCCCACCCGGTGGTGCCCCTAAGCCGGCCTGCTGAGTGCAGAGTGATTAGATTAACAACTGAAGGAGACAACCACAGAGAGTAGATTCCTGAAAGTCTCAACCAGACAGCCTAAGGACAAACAGGGTCAACATGTGACATCATAAGAAGCAGATCCAGAAAGAAAAAACAGCAATCTTCTACCATAGAAGTTCACACCACAAAGTGAGGAAATCAAGACAGATCAATTTGAGAACCAGAAGCTAAAGAGAAGAGCCTCACAAATAATGGGAAGATAAAGAAACACCCTCCAGTAAAAGGAAAAGGAGGAATCCCCAGGAAGAGAACTAAATGAAATACGGGCAAGTTAACTATCAGATACTGAGTTCCAAACAATGGTTTTAAGGTAGCTCAATGAACTTACTGAGCTCAGTGAGAATTACCAAAAACTACAGGGAAGCTACGAGGAACTTACTGCAAACTATATCAGCATGAAAAAGGACATAGAAACTATCAATAAGAGACAGGAGGAAATGATGAATACAACTTCTGAACTGAAGAACACAGTAGAAGGAATCAAAGGCAGGATAGATGAAGCCGAGGATCGAATGAGTGAGCTGGAGGATAAAGTAGAAAAAAGCTCCCAGAAAGAGCAAGAAAATGAAAAAAGACTCAGAAAGTTTTAAGAGGAATTGAGGGAAATGCAGGACAACCTGAAATGTAATAATATCCATAAAATAGGGATACCAGAAGGAGAAGAGGATGAGGAAGGGATAGAGAACCTGTTTGAAAAAGTAATGATGGAAAACTTCCCTAATGGGAGAGAAGTCCCACAAGTCCAGGGAACACAGATGGTCCCATTCAAGAGGAACCCAAAGAGACCCATTCCAAAACATATCATCATTAAAATGGCAAATATCAAAGATAGAGAATCCTAAAGGTTTCTCCCTTTAGAAAGGGAGAAAGAAGTAGGAACATATAAGGGAGCCCCAATACGGCTAACAGCTGACTTCTCAACAGAAACACTGCAAGCCAGAAGGGAATGGCAAGAAATATTCCAAGTCATGAAAAGCGAAGGCCTGCAACTAAGACTGCTCTACCCAGCAAGGCTCTCAATTAAAATGGAATGTGAAAATAAGGGGTTTTCCTGACAAAAGAAGGCTACGAGAATACACCTCCACCATACCAGCATTGCAAACTATGATAAAGGGACTGCTTTAAGAAGATGAAGAAAAAGAGTCTATGAATACCCAGTACCTTTCACAGTCACCAATACTTGATATTACCAATATTTTCAATACTTATTAATCTGATTGAGACAATGATGGTTATTTTGTTACTTTAGTATTTGTTGAAACTAAACCTGTTTTTCTTGCCTATTTGTATTATTTTTAAAAAAGCTTTAAATGACTTTTTGGTATTCTTTATCCATTTTTTGATGAAATGTTTGTAGTATTTTTTCCCTAAAAAAAAAAAAAAAAACCCAAAAAAACAGAACAGAAAGCTATTAACCCCTTTTTAGATGTGTTGCAAATACTTTCCTATTCCATTACTTGTCCTTTAACTTTTCCTATATATATATTACTATATAGTCTTAAATGTTTAATATAGTCATATTATCAATATTTTACTTTATAGTTTCTGGGTTTGAATATGTTACTTCAGGATAAGAAAAATATTTGTATTTTCTCTGAAAACTCCTTCCATTTTACATACGGATTTTTAACTCACCTGAATATTTTTTGTATAATGTGTGAAATAGGGCTTTTGTATTTGTTTTATTTCAAGGAATACTGGTTCATGTATCTTATTTGTTGAATAAGCCTTATTTTCCCCACTGATTTGAAATATCAATTTAATCATATATTACATTGTTAGACAGATATGTAAGTTGGTTTCTAGAATGCTCATTTTATTTCACTGATCTACATGATTATTTCTGTGCTGGTGTCATGTTGTTTTCATTGCTGAGACTTTATAATGGATTTAAATTTTTTTAATATTTTATAATGGATCTGCACATTTAAAAAAATAAATAAAATCAATCTGCAATGAAAGAAGGAAGGAAGGAAGGAAGGAAGGAAGGAAAGAAGGAAGGAAAGAAAGAAACGAACTCCTACCCTCTATGACATCATGGATGGAACTGGAGAATATTTTGCTCAGTGAAACAAGCCAGTCAGTGCGATCTCACCTATAAGTGGAATTTCTTCAACAAAATAAACTAATGAACAAAATAAACCACAGGCAAGGAAACATGGAGCAGACTGAAAGTGACCAGAGGGGATGGGGGAGGGAGGACAATGATGGAAAGAAGGGGAAGGGACAAAACAAAGAACATGTATGAATGACCCATAGACAGGGAGAACAGTGTGGGAATTGACTGTGGGAGAGGGGGGTGTGGTGGGATGGGTAGAGGAAGGCAAAAGGGGAAAAACTGAGACAACTGTAATAGAATAAACATGATTTAAAAATTTAAAAAAAAAGAAAAAAGAATCCTGAAACACCAATTCAGTAGAATATATACACCCCAATGTTCATAGCAGCATTATTTACTATAGTCAAGGTCTGGAAACAGCCCAAGTACCCATCACTAGAGGAGTGGATAAAAAAGACGTTATATATTTCCACAGTGGAATACTATGCAGCTGCATAAAAGAAGGAACTCCTACTCTTTGCAACAGCATGGATGGACCTGAAGATTATTATGCAAAGCAAAATAATCCACTCAGAGAAAGACAAATACCATATGATCTCACTGATATGTGCAATCTAATGAACAAAATGAACAAACCAACAAAATAGAATCAGAGGCGTAGATACATGGAACAGACTGACAAATGTCAGAGGGGAGAAAGGGGAGGACTGGATGAAAGAAGGCAAAGGGATTGAAGGAGATATATGCATAGCCCATGGATACAGACAATAGTGGGGTGAAGACCAGTGGAAGGGGGCTGGTGCTGAGTGAAGGTGGGCAAAGGAGGAAAAAAGAAGAGACATCTGTAATAGTGTCAAAAACAAAAAGTCTTTTTAAAATACTTGATTTATTTATTTTTAGAGAGAGGGTAAAGGAGAAAGAGGGAGAGAAACATCAATGTGTGGTTGCCTCTCACACGTCCCCTACTGGGGACATGGGCCACAACGTGCCTTGACTGGCAATCAAACCTGAGGCTCTGTGGTTCATGGGCCAGCACTCAATCCACTGAGCCACACCAGCCAGGGCCAAATCAATTTTTTTAAAATAATAATAAACAGGCTTTCAGATAGTAGGGTGAAAGAAAAATTTAATGTTATTTTAGTAGATCTGAAAATAATCAAATTTCATTTTGTTCATTAATACTTTACTTCCTATGGACATTTTAACCTTAATTTTCAATTTTTCCTTGTATAATTAAATAATGTAAATAAACAATATCATTACATTTCATGTAACTGCTATTAAATTCATTTAAGTAAATTTAAAAAAACAGTGCCAGGCTTCAGACCCTCTGCGAATCACCTCGACGTGCACCTAGGCCAGTGGCCACTTGTGCTAGGCTGTGGTCACTTAGTTGAAGCTACTTTCCAAGCCAACCCTGGCCACAGCTTATGCCACTCTTGGGGCCATCTCATGGGAATTACAATGCAAGTTGAGAGACTGCTGGTGGTACTGCATCTGGGGCATCTTAAGTGGTATTGGACATGCCATTGGCCAGCACTTGGTGGTTTGGGATTCGGAGACTCTTGAGAGATTTTATGAATGCCCACACCATGAGCTAACACAGACTGCTTGTGGGGAACAGCCACTGGAAGTGGCTCAGGGTGGCACGTAAGTTGGGTGTGTCGGCGTCTGAGTTGATGAACATGTCTAGAAAAACAGTGCTAGCCAGGTTAATGGAGAGCACTGGTGTGCAGCCAACCTGAGCTTGCCAGATAGGTGGGAGGAGGGATCGATAAAGTAAAAAAAGAAATGCCTACCGGCACTTGTGTCTCCAGAGAGTACTTTTCTGACCTCTGCTCCTCCAGCTCTCACCCCTAAACTACTCTGTCCTGTTCCTCTCCATATGTCCTTGCTGTTCTTGTGCTGGTGCCCAGAGGGAGGGAATTCATGAGGGAGTCAGCCCATAGGCATCTCAAAAGGAATGCCTAGGACACCAGCAGCTCTCTGCCTCACTCAGAGGCAACACCTACTGGTTTTCACAGCCAGGTATTATGGGGGTTGCTGTCAAGGAAGCCCAGTGTGGTGCTGGGACCCCTCATTCCTCAGGGGAGACTTCCACGAGATATTCCTTCTGATTTTTAATGACCCTACATGGGTGTGAGAGGTCCCATTTCGCATCTCTACTCCTCCTATCACTCTTGACATGGCTTCTTTATATTTTTAGTTATAAGACTTGAGTGGGGCTAGTCTTCCAATGGTTCTCAATGATGGTTGTTCTATAATTTGAAGTGGTCATGGGAGGAGGCAAGCACAGCGTTTACCTATTCTACCATCTTGACAAGAAGTTCTGAGCCTCTGTTCCTTTAAAAAAGAACATCAGGGGAAAAATATGTATTTCTTAAAATATGCCTCTGTTGTCCCTGGCCAGGTAGCTCAGTTGGTTAGAGCATTGTCCTGATACACCAAGATTGCAGGTTCAATCTCTGGTCAGGGCACACATTAGAAGCAACCAATGAATGCATAACTAAGTAGAGCAACAAGCTGGTTTCTCTCCCGCCCCCCAACATCCCCCCACAAAATCAATGAAAAAATATGCCTCCATTAAAAGCTACTTTAGGGTACTTACTTTCGAAAGGGCTTTGGTGTCCCATGTTCAGGTATCCTAAAACAATGGAAAATAATCAACATAAAAACAAAATGTAATCAAGAAATTTTTGCCAATTTCTTGATTGGCAAATTAAAACTGAGTTAAAAGACAGTGGCTGATAAATAATTCTTCTGGATATTGTAAGATTAATATCAAACTAAAAACATTTAATACCTATCTAATATGTACTACCAATATAAGTTCTAGTTCCTTCCCTAAAAACTATGTATGGTAAAAACTCTGCAAAATATAGGAACACTATACAATCAAAAACCTAAGCAATGTCCTAAACTTAAACCTAAATTATCACTGAATTACCTTTCTACTTCCCATTCCTCCTCTTGCACCTGATCTAATGGAGGAGGCAGAAAATCAAAGATGGTATTGGAAGTACGAGGCATGCCATCCAAGGAGTCTCCAGATGCTGGTGTTTCTCCAACTTGCTTTGATCCTGCAAAGACAAATGTCATACATTCAATTCATGTTAATACTTAATATTAAGATGATTACAAAAAAAAAAATCAGTCCCAAAGACTTCAACCAAATCCATAGTTATAGTCATATTTAAACAATTGTCGGTTAGCTAAGAACCAAAAATCAAGTCTATAAAATTTTAAAATACACTAAAAATATAAACAGGAAAATCAATTTTAATAGCTTTTAAAAGTCAACACAGGATATGGCAACAACTCAGAAGGGCATATGATGAGAAAAAAACATTCTCTTACCTTATCTTTTTCATTCAAATTTTAGATATTATGGTGATCCAACAACAAATAATAACTTCGTATTTCTTTTTCCTAATTTATTATCTTTAGGTAATACCTATTTCTTCCTCCTCTGAAGATATTGGTCATTTATGCTTCCTACCTTCACTTTCTTCCCACTTCCCCCCAATATTTGATAATTACATTATTATTAGTTGGATTATTGGTTTTTACCTAAGTTTAAATAATTATAGCTATATTTTTGTTCCATCAAGAAATTAGTATCTTAACACTTTTCTATGTCAGATTAGGTATTTGGTGTACATATCCTTCCTTCTAGTTATCTTTCTTTCCTTCTACCTTCATTTCTTTAAACTACAATTTTACTTTTTTTTTACATTTTCATTCTGATCTGCAGCCACAACTAAATATTCTATACTTTGCCTAAGAGGCTGATTCTAAGCCTAAAAACAAATAAAATGCTTGCATTATTAGGACAATATATACATATTGTCATATATAACATACAACATATACTTATCTATTATTCCTGCCTATTATTCAGTTAATAGGTATGCTATTTAGGACTATATTTCCTTTTCTACTGGTCCAATAATGCAAAATTCCTGGACCACTTGAAATTAAAAGATTTATTATATTAAAATCTTATATTCCATCAATTACTTTAAAATTACGCCACTTTGTTTTCCTTCATGTTTAAAATCATGACCTAACTTTTTGAACAGCTATGTTTTTCTCAATGCCTTTCTATTTTTACTGTCAAAGTACTACAGTTTTATCAAGTATCCAGCCTTTTCATCTGCTACATCATAGGATAATATGCTTAAAACGGCTTAAAATCTCCTTACTGCTTATTATCCTTTATGTTCTTGCACTCCAGTCTGGAACAGTTGCTCCCTTGGACTGTGACACAACTACCATCCTAGAACTGCTTTTCACCACTTTCCTAAATTGTTTCCACTTTTTCCTGGATCTCATGACATCTTCTTAATGCTTCCCTCATTTTGCTGATGTGGTATCTTCAAATGATTTTCAAGAAAAAGCTACACTTAAGTTAGACTTTTAATCCTGGCATATCTGAAAATGCCTTCATATCTTTCTTCACATTTCATGGATAATCTGAATGAATACAGAATTCTAAGTTCAATACCATTTTTTTCCAGCAAGTTGAAAGTATTGCTCTTTGTATTCAAGCACCTAGTGTTATAATGAGAAATGTGATGCAGCATAACCCCCTTTTTATCTTGAAACATTTTTCTTTTGCTTTATCTCTGGTACACTGAAATTTCCAAAGACATTTTAGGTATGGATCTCTTATTTTTATTATTATTCACTGTAGCTGGTTCCAAGTCAGCTCTTTCTATCTGAGAGCATGTACTGTTTTTCAACTCTGGGAAGCTTTCTTCTGTCACTTCTCTGCCTCTTCTCAATTTCCTCTACTGATGTTTTGTGAAAAAGACCCCTGTAGTGGTTCTCTACATAATTCTTGTCTCTTTAATTTCTATCTCTTGATATTTATAATACACATTCTAAAATATTTCCTTGACTTTATTTTTAGGGTCTATTTTTTTTTCCTTTAAATACTGGCAGTTATAGCATTTACAAAATAGGTCCACAAATTCTTTGATACTTACCTCTTCTGGGGTGGAGCCTAATTCTTCTGTCCTTGAGTGGGGACTAGATTCAGTGACTTGCTTTTAACTTGCTGAAGTGGCAGTGTTAACATAAACTGAAGTTATAAAAGACATTGGGGCTTCTTTCTTGCTCTCTCTTTGGATCACCCTGGGCAGAGTCAGCTATCATATGGAACACTCAAGCAGGTCCATGGAGAAGCCCATGTGGTAAGGAACTGAGGTTTCCATCAAGGAACTAAGATCGTTCTGCCACCAGCCACCTGCACGAGCATGGAAGCAGGTCTCCTGCCCTCAGCTAAGCTTCCAAATGACATCTTAACTGCAACCTCATGAGAGATCCAAAACCAGAACTGCCCAGCTAAGCTACTCTTGAGTTCCTTTACCACCAAAAATGTGAGATAATGTTTTGTGTTAAATGCTTAAGAGTGGTGTAATTTATCACACAATTGATAAATAATACAATAATTATTGTACTCTATGAAGTAGTTATATTGAAACTATTTTTGGTTTCTGAATGCTTTTTCATAGCATCCTATTCTTGTTTTATAACTATAATAATTTATTTTTCCCAAGTATACTAAGAGATATTTTGTCAAGTTCTTGTCTAATATCAAAATTAATGTTTTCTGCTAGTTTTTCTGTTCATTTTGGATTCTCTTTTTTATACCACTAATATGCTTGGCATTATATATTATCTTCAATCTTGACTGTAACAAGCACATTTTTCCAAGAGTGGGTAATGCTGCTCATATTTAAAAATATAAGACCTGGTAGATGATTCCGCTTTCTTCTACAGCTATTTGTATGTAGATCCATTTCAGTTGGAGTTCTCTGAGCTGGGTGAGTCCCCAGCATGCCTATGGTCAGGCATTAAGCCCCCAAATGTTAGAACTCTAGGACAATCATACCGTGGAGAATGTAACTCTCCCTTACAATTCATTTGACTTCCCTAAAAGAGAGCACACTCATTATCTTCTGGTACATAAATGACAGACTACTTATATCCTACAATGCAAGGATCAGAAAATGCTGACCTAATTGTTTTGATTACAGACTTCCAGTTTTTTCATTATTTTCAACTTTCCTTCTTATTCATGTACTCCATAATACATGCACACTCTGAGACTGAAGTCTCTACAGCCTCTTTCTAATGGGCAGACTGGCTCGCACCTTGAACTCCTTAAACAAATTATGGGCTCCAGTTTCCTTCATGTTGTTTTATCCTTCAAACAACTACTGTCCTCTTTCAATCTCCCAAGAATTTGCTGAAATCTCTTACTTGTTGATAACATCTTCCTGTACCTACTTTCTCTTTATGGTTTTTTTCTTTTTGTTCCCTATCATGCTTGTATTTCAGTAAGATATGGGGCACATGAATTAATGTATGTTCATAATCCAACATTTTCCAAATTTCTTATCAGATAAAATCTCCAGATTTTTCTCCAAATGTCACCCGTACTTCTTTGTCTTAAATAAAAACCTGCCTATCCCATGGGGAGGTTACTTCTTCTGTGACAGCCTCTCAAATAGAGACTTACGTTTCTGTCATACACTGTTCTCCCAGCTCACTCGCTTAAGAAACCCATTATAACAAGTATAAAGAAATACAGTAATAAGCTCTTTTCCCAATTACCGATAGTTACTTCACATCTTTCTTTAAATCCCCTTGTTCTTTTCACCAAATCTCACTCTTAGGTAATAACCTTGTCTTTCACATACACTCTGTATCTCATCTCTTTCTTTTTCAAAACTGTGTTCCATTGGTTATACAGTTTGTTTCTTGCATCTTCATCTTCGTTCTCAAATTGGTTTCACATTAACATTTATAAAGCATCTCTATTATCTCTCATTTTTAAAATCTTCTTTAGACCCCTCACATCTGGTCCTAACCACTGACCAGTCCCCTCAATACTGCCTTTACCTTTCCTGTGTTATACTTAGCAGAATTTGAATTTGTGTACATTTGTATGTGTATATGACTATCTCCCCATGAGACTAAGCTGCGTGGGGCAAGAATCTATGTATAATTTATGCTAACATCTGTTACGAAGCTTAGTAAGTATTTTTTGAATGGCGGAGAACTTAAAAATTACCATTTACATAGGTTTTTCACTAGTAAAATATTAAAATTTAAAATTAAATTTAACTGGGATTCAGTCTGGATTAAAATAACCTGCCATTCTATTTCTTATTGTTTTAAAATGTCGATACTTAGTTAAGTTGAAAACAGCTCACCCATATCATTCTCTTTCCCTCCTTCCTGGGAAAGAGTGGCCACTGAAGCCACAGAAGACATGGAATTGGCTGGCAGGTATCCAATGTCTGATCCTTCACTTGCTAACCCACTCTGGCGCAACTTAGCAGAGTCCTGAGGTTCAGGACTCACAGATGATGGTGTGGATAAATGCTTAGGGTGGCGCTGCTTCTGTAGTTCCATGGCTCTGCCGACTGAACAGAAATAAATGGTCAAAAATTTGTGTTTCAAAACGGCTGAAAAAAGATGATGTAAAAGATCTGGAAAAATGTCTAAACCTTGGTATGCTCGAGAAAAATATAAAATTAATTATTACAGAGTGAGAAAAGAAAACAGAAAGAAAAACGAGAAAGGCAAAAGGAAGGTAGAGGAGGGAAGGAGATGAAAGATGGATAAAAAGAAAAGGGAGAGAGATGGTGGAAGATGAGGAGGAAAGAGAGGAGGTAGAAAAAGATGAGTCATGAGAAAAGGAGATGAGGGGAGCAACTGTATGTGGGGAAGAAGGAATGCTGAGAGCCAAGGACAGATACATAGGGAACTGTGCTCCTTTGTAAGAATGAGGATGAAGCCTTTTAGCTCCATGAGCTCTCAGAAGTTCCTCTAACACTCATAACTTCATCATCACAATATGTCTCAAGGACCATCCAGACTAATCTTTATCTGGCTCATTATCCCTGTGCATATCAGTTATCACAAGAAGCTAAAACCTTTCAGGTCATCCATTCTCTATAGCACTGTACATCCTCACATAGCTTTGCACATCACTAATCCTAAAATTCTTCCTTCCTTAATTCCAAAAATTATTTTCTTCTGTATCCCTTGGAACTCATGGCCAAATATGTGAAATGCTCCATCTTCTCAACTTCTTCCCTAAAAGCTTCTTCCATCTTCTCAGTGTTTCTCAACAAAAGTAATGGCATTTGAGTGAGAATTCCTCATTGTGAAGGACATTTAATATCATTATATCACAATATTATCCCCACTCTAACCATGCCAAGATATTCAAACGTGGCACTGCCTAAGTTATAAACCACTACATGAACTAATTTCCTCTCCATAGTACCCCTAACCCTATTTCTCCTGCAGCCCCCTCTAGTGGGCTGATCTTTCTCCATTAAACCGGGGGTAGAGAGAGATCAGAAGACAAAGCACAATGGAGATATGAAAAATTGTGGAATTATGGAAAGAGTAATATATGTATGAAGAGATTAAACAAAGTATGGTGGAGAGATCCAGGCACATATATATATTTTTTAATTTAACAATCAGAACTTGAATATAAACAAAATTAGAACAGGTAAATACATTAAAAGTAAATAAATTGTAGTAAATTATATTTTGGATAACTGACGAAATGCTCTACTGCAATTAAAGAAGATGTTTTTAACAGTTATGTAGCCACATGGAGAAATTTAGTTCAGATATAACATTTAAGGGAAGGAAGGAACATTGGAAGTTCAGTGGACTCATGTCAAGAACATCTTTCTTCAACAATTCATCCTAGCTAAATGAGCCTCTGAGAAAAGGCGGCATGGCATAGTAGGAATGCAGCATTTCAAAATTCAACATACTTGCACTGTTGTCATGACGGCTTGGCCTCCTTGGGGGTCCCAGGATGCTGGAGAATCCTCTTCGCTTCCCTTTCTCTTCGCCTTCCCTATCTTTCTTCATACTTTGCTAGAGTCAAGGTAAAATAAAAGAGGTAAGAGATACATAACAGAGTAGATTTCGTTTGTTGCTTTCAAACCCAGAAATGCAATTCCAATGATCATTTATAAGAAATTGGTTAAATGTAAATGTGAAAAAAGACACACACACACACACACACACACACACACACACACACACACAGCTCCTCAGAAACAAGCACACAGTACTGTGTACACATCAAACTTTGATTATCTGGGGGGAGGAAGAAGAGGGTATATTGTGGCTAAATGGAAATGGAAGGAGACTTGACATGGAGTGGTGAACACACAATACAATATATAGATGATGTTTTATAGAACTGTACACCTAAAACCTATGAAATTTTATTAACCAATGTCACCTCAATAAATTCAATTTTAAAAAGTTAAGATATTTTTTAAATGCTTTATATCTGATAATTTTGGAAAATAAAAAGGTAGTTTCATAGCACATTTACTGAGAACTTGTTCTAAATGATTAATTTACCCTTTGAACAAATATTTACTAAGCTCATAAAATGTGTAGGCACTAAGCTAAACACTCGGGATATAATGATGAAGACATTCCCCGACCTCACTGAGCTTTACAATCTAACAAAAATTAAACAAAAACACAGATAATTACAAACTGTGACAGGTACCACAAAAGAAAAGGCTGTAATAGAGTTGGGGATAGTACTCGGTGTAAATCGCTATTTTCACTTTTCATATTGTCTAGTAGTGACAACAGGAGCCATATATTATACCTATTAGCATGCCTGCCACTAACTTGCTGAGAAAGTGAATACTAAGAAGAAGGAACGCACTGAACCAAATGTAAAAAAGCACAGAAACCTAAACACACTGTTCTTCTTCCAGTCTTACTTTGATTTTTGGAAGGAATCCAATCCGACCCCGCTTATGCTCCAAGTTTCGAGGTTCTTTCATTTTAACTCCCAAATGCTTCATGTACATGAAAATAACATACTGCATCGTCGAACTGGAGGAGAATGGGTTAAGTAAAGTAAGACTTCTGAGAAAGGAAGGTGGGTAAAACAAAGATAGCAAATGACGTCAAAAACCTCAATGATGGAATTCTTAGAATTCATTCACGACACAACAATATTAGTCAGATAAAAAAGGCACAAGAGGGAGACAGTCTATATTTTTCAATTTAAAAGAAAAATAATATAATTTAGGACTAACAAAAGATAGTTTCTTTTTCTTAGAATTCTAGGAAAAAACAATTATAGTACCTCTTATCTTCTTCTATAGCCTGAGCAGTCATCCTAAAAATAAAAACATTGAAAAATGAAATATTAAAGTGTAATAAGAGTTGCTATTAAACTCAGATACCTGAGAAAACAGAACAGAGCTGAATGCTTTGGGAGCCACACTATATCTCTGTCACATGGACTATAATTGGGAAAAAACTCTAATCCCCAAAGAAAGTACATGCTTTGCACTCTCATATCATTGCCTGTAAAAGTTTTATAGCAAAAACTATTTCCAAACCCTATAAATTGAAATCAATGAAAGTATTTGACCTGTTTTTGGTCATTTAGAAATTTTGTAGTTACTCACTTGGGTAATATCCAGAAAAAGAAACTCAAGAACTTTATTTAAAATAAGACATCAGCAAAAATAAACCATTCTAGTTTCTCAAATACTATGACAAAATAAATAGCTCCACATACTTAATCTGACACCCCTGCTAAATTTGTTCAGAGTATACTGTCAGCATAATTAGCATCTGAGAAGAGAGAGCATTTTTCTTATATTTCTATTACTTACAACACTTCTTCAATTTTGGCAACGATCTGTTCTGCACATGCTCGTTCCTTCTCCAAAGTTACCCGGTCCTTGTCTCGCTCTACATCAAGTTTAGTCAGCTCACTTTCAGCCAGGGTCAGCCCCATGCTCCGTTTCTGCCTAAAGGGAACAGGAGGAATTTCCTGAGGTAGCCTAAAGAAAAACTATCTCCCTCAGCAAAGTTTCCAAAGCAATGACTTTCTAGCAACTGGAAAATTCACAATTTTTTATTTCGGAACACCATGTCACTAGGACACAAGAGGAAAAATATGCTAGAAGTAATCGCTTGACAGAACGCATATCCTGAAGGAAAACACTTAGTACTGAACTCAAATGCTGAAATCGTATGGAATGGGAACTATGAACTCTCACCGCTCCAACACTTTGACTCAAGATGTCTATTATGTTTTAATAACAGTGATAAAGACCATATGCTTAGCCAAGGATTTAATGAGTAACCCTTCCAACCTTAAAAAAAAATTAATTCAGAATAGTCATATCAGTTTATATCCACCCCCAAGCTTACCGAAAATCTTCCAAGTGCCTCTGAATTTCTGGGTGGACTCTTTCTTGCATAGTTTGAATATAGTGGCGATGCAGATCCTCAGGAATGAGTTCAGGCCGTCTTCTCTCTGGACAAGAAAAGGGAAATAATTACTTGATCTAAAGGTATAATCTGTGCATTATAACTGGCAACATTTCAATGCCATCTGGTATAAACTTATCTTGGAGTAAGAAAAAGAGAAATTATTCAATTCATGTATTTCATCTCAGAATTCAGGTTTCATTTACCCTTAAATGCAGATAACCTACCGCATGGTACCATAAAACCTTCAGAGATGAGCTGAGGTACATAACTATAAAGAAATAATTCTCCAGGATATTGGTACTCCAAACTTACCTAGATCTACTGATATTTCATCAGGAACAGAAACCTTCAGGTGCTAAAACAAAAATACAAACAAAACATGAGACAGCACTAAGGACTTTTCAAGACGTATATTAAGTACCTGTACAATATAAAGTGAAGAGATAGAACTTGGACACCTATTTTAACAAGCATATTAATGTGTAACTCATTTACTGGATTCCACCCACTCAAATTTCACAGCTCTGGTATGTTCTATTGTTTAAACTCGAAAATAAGAACTTTCCCAAGGATCTTGCTGTAATGGAAATATCTACAGTATTACTAAATGACTAAATGCTTTTGCGCTTTATTCATATTGGCTTTAGTTTTCTAGGATCATTGGTTAATATAACCAGTCATATGTTATTTGAATTAATGTTGGTAAAACCTAAACTATATGTATATATTATCTTATGAAAAATTTACTCACATATAACTATAATTTTTATTTGCTGTATTTGAGATACTTCCACTACAGACCATGATATTCTCAGTCACTTTCCTACGTAAATTTAAAGAACCCTCCTAACAGTCACATTCTCAATGAGAAGGGATTGGATGTCAATGTTGAGGCTTTGGAGTCTTATATCTCCAGTAACGATCTATAGTACTTATACTATTGAACAAATTAAAGTGACTGTGTCATAATTTAGCTCATAACTAGGATATTCCCCATAATAATTGTAGTTTCTGGTCCCATTACCAGATAGCTTCATTTTTCTTTCCATCAATTTGGGAAATGTCTTGGAAAATACTTATTTTTTGCATTTACAAAAAACAACATCTGCATACTTGCTTTGTATTATTGTACATCTACTTCAGTCATATACTTCCAGAATTTAAATAACTCCTGTAAGTTCTGAACATTTATATTTGAAAATAAGTCACTGTTAAACTTATCATATCTCTAATATTCATGTAAAGAACAGAGAAATAGATTTCAAAGTCCTGTCTTTAACTGAAGTTGCCATGCTATACTCAAATCAACTTTCCTAATGGTATTTCTAGCACCAATGCAAAAATTATATAAATGTTCATTCCTTTATGTGGGTATTTATATGAAATAAATATAAGCTGTGGCTTAAAAATAATTAGCAAATTAATCAAGGTTCTTATACTTTAATGTTAATAAACTTATTGATCCGTAGCAAAATATAAAGTTTTAACAGCATGGAGCTCTCTTAAGAAATGTGAAACTCAAATGCAATTCAACAGACTATCATTTCTTCATGGAAGCAAATTATATTAGTAAATACAATGTGTAATATTTTAAACAATGGCAGTACAGTCAGAATCCTAATCAATTCATTAAAAAATATAATCCTGGAAGGAATGAGAGTGGGTGTGATAAGATAAAAAACTAGAAAGGATGTAAGGAAGTAAATTTTGTAGGGCTGTATAAGTCAAATTAAGGTGTTTTAGACTTTTAAAATAAAAGCAACTACTGCAAACAAGAAAATTTTTAAAAAAGGCAAAATCTATTCAACCCAAATCAATCAGCACTGTTCACAAACTGATACTAAAATAATAAAAATGTGGTGTTAAAAAGCATTCTTTAATTATGCTATGACTTGTTTCCTTTTTTCATGAAAAAATAGACCATAAATATACAGAATATTGTTTAAAAATTTTTCACAAAATAATCAGTATTTCTACCAACCTCATGAAATGAAGTTTTAAAGAAATCTGTAATCTTTAGCCAATATTGTATGTTGCTAAAGATACTGACAATACTTTTTCTATGTATTTTAGTTGAAATTTGATAATTTCTACATGTATAAAATACAATTGAAACCTTGTGCAATAAGTGTCATTCTGTTTAATCTGACCACATTTTTTCCTATACTTATTTTGATATTTCCTTGCAGCAACTGCTCACTGCTTACTAAGTAAATTATTTAGAAACAAAAATTGTTTCTGACAAGTCTGTGTTCACTGCTACTTAACATTTAGTGCTCCAGGTGCTGCCAAACTGATTTTTATTAAAATAAATTTTTCCAGAAGCATGAAAATTGACTAACTACTTTTTTAATTCTCAACTACTATTTCATTTATTATTTATGAAAAGTGATTATTTATGAAAAGTGCCATATTTTCTTCCTTTGGCATTAAGACACCATTCATTGATGTATCATTAGTGTATAAACACTGAAGGTATCTTTGAGATTTCATCATTTCATGTCCTAAATAGTCTGGGAAGTGTCTGGCTAGAAACTTCTAAGAAAAAACTCCTGTATTGACTAAGATATTTGTATTGTAGTTGATATTTGTTGTACTTACGATTTCCAGTCCATATTTTACTCCTAAGATTTTAAAAATGAACATTTATATTATGTATGCTAATAAGCAAAAGACAAAGTCCAACGATCTAGTGTAAACTTTGTCAGTTGGTCCAAATACCAATTTATGGATCAATTCTGTCCACAATAAAATATTCATTTCATAATTATATTATTATACGTAAATTTTTGTTTAATGCATTTACTTGGCAAAATTAAATGTAGGTAAGCATCTATGTAGGTAAGCAGGGTACTGCAGTAAATATACAAATAAAAAATTAAAAAATTAAAAAATCTGACTACTTTCTGCCAGGATTTTTTTTTTTCCTAATCTTTACCTGAGGAAAAGGGACAGAGAGAGAGATACGTGATGTGAGAGATAAACATCAATTGGTTGCCTCCTGTATGCACAGATTGGGGATTGAACCCGCAATCTAGGAAGGTACCCTACCCAGGAATAGAACCTAGAACCTTTCAGTTTACAGGACGATGATCCAACCAACCAAGTGAGCCACACTGGCCAGCGCCCAGGATTTATTAATATGGGGGAACAGCTGTAAATAGACAGAATAAAAATATCTGCCCTGATGAAACTTACATTCAGGACAGAATAGGAAACAAACAAAATAAATAAAAGTTCTGTGGACAAAAATAAGAAAGATAACATAAAGTGAAGGGGATTAAATTTTAAATAGGTTTAATTACCTCGATGAGAAGGAATTATTTTCTGCAGTGTGTAGGCAACTTTGTAAAGGAATACAAAGAAAATGGGGAGCTGGAGAAAAAGGTGGAGCCAAAATGTTTGTGGTTTTTCATTTGCTTTAAGATAGGAGAACTAACAATGCATGGTATCATAAATGATTCAACAAGCCTCGCTGAATAAGTATTAAGAGACACAATACACATGGTATGATGAAGGTAAGTGATATATCTGTAGAAGCTCTCTCCTGTATACTATTATACTTTAAATTTCTCAAAGAAACACCAAGTTATCAGCTGAGAAAAAGATAAGAGAGGGAGTGATGGAAGTTTTAGGAGAATGAAAGTATGAAACAGTCATCTAAGAGAACTGCAAATACAAAAGAACTAGGGACATGCAGTATGATTATCCAGAAAGCATTAAGGGCTAACTCTTATTTACCCTATAGTAACGCTTATAATAAAACTCTTAAGTTTAAAAACCTATTAATTTGTAAAATAAAACACTATTATTACTTACTATCATTTATGTGAATAAGATCTTTTCCACCACTTTTTAGTTAAACTTGTACCTACTAACTTCAAAAAGACCAACCAGAGTTCAATTATGCAAGTATTATCCTTTGGATCCTAGTATATGAATGTATAGAATTTGTATTTTCTTTTTACTCCCTCAACTAACCATAAACATGTATAAACCCAAATATACATACATATCTCCTAAAACCTACCGTGACAATTCATATGCCTACAACTAATTTAAATGATAAAAAGTAACAGTCAAGAGTAATCACTAATTGACATATAAGACAGAGTTCACAAAACACAATAAATTCTAAAAACATGGGAGGGAAAACTGGAAGTAGGAGGCCAATAATGCAATGCACTAGAACAAAGAGATTGATATTAACTTGGTAACTTACTGCAGATCGATCCAGGAAGAACTGATGAAACTCAAGGAAGACACGACGAGTCTCCTTGGAATTAGTCTGTTTGTAAAGGTCTGAATAGAGATAACAAAGCTGTAGTAAAGGAGAAAATGAAAAAGATAAAGTGAGAAATTTTAAAAATGTAATCTGCTAGATTCTCATAGAGTATGAATGTTTGGAATAGATAAGTCACCATAAACAATCTAGTTACTACCATATAATCAAGTGTTTTAAAACATAACATTTTAAGTATCTTTCATGTCTACCCTTATATATTTAGAAAACTGAAAGATGCATGTCCAGTTATCTTGCATAAGTGAAAAGTTTTATGGTTTATGAACCAATGTAAGAACTCTGAATTGACTAAGTTGTAAAATATATTATATTACCAATGTTGCAGGGTCAAACTGTGAAACTACATGGTGTAAAAAAACAGCCAAGTGAGCGGGGCGAGATTTTAGTAATTCAATGCTCTGGAAACAGCTGCACTGCCCATTGATCTAGGGGAAAAAAAAAAGTATACATCAATAACTCCAACACAAATGCTCAACTAAAGATAACTATCAAAATTTTACTTTGACCTACCCTAAAAAATTCAAGATTTAAAACATTTCACTAGAATGTATTAGCAACACAGGCTATAGAATCTCTTCCTCCGAAATGACTAAACTCTTGGAAATAGGCTGGATGACCATCTTGGGAGAGTACAAGTTCAGAAGATGATTATCAAGGAGTCGAGATAACTACAAACTGGTACGCAAAAAAACTGCCTAACAATACTTCTAATAATGTAATGAAAGGCTTTTGCCTAATAATGAAATACCTGTTTTCCTTTTCTTTTGGGCTAATTATAGAAACTGTGGTGGAAAATGAAATTGTATGATTTTAAGTAAGACAGCCTGGGATATTTCCTAACTATGTTGAAAACAGAAAAACAGTAATAGTAAAAATAGCAGTAAGTAGAATCACAATTTTCATGTAATTTTTCACTTTTAAGTAAAGTGAGAAACTAAAGTTGCTCTAAACAAACAATACCAATTTATACCATCTCTTTCAGAAAATACAAGAGGTAAGAACACTGCTTAATTAATTCAAAAAGGCCAGCACTACCCAACTATCAAAACCAAACCAAAAAATTACCAAAAAAGAAAAAAAAATTACACACCAATATCCCCCATAAACACAGACACAAAAGTCCTCAGCAAAATAACAGCAAATTGAATACAGCCATAAGTAAAAAGAAAAATACATTATGATCTATTACACTATATCCCTAGAATATAAGGCTGACTCAGCATGCTAATATCAATGCATGTAATTTACCATATTAGGAGACTATTATAATCATCTCACTCATTCAATAAAATTCAGTATTCATTCATGATAAAAACTCAGAAAACTAGGAATAGAAGGAAAGTTCTTTAACCTGTAATAAAAAGTATCTACAAAAAACCTACAGCTAACTTTATTACACTTTACGATGAAAGACTAATCTTTCCTCATAAGATTAGCAATAAACCAAAGATGTTCTACCTCACCACTCCAATTCAGCCTTGTACTGGAAGTCCTAATCAGTGCAATATATGAAAGATAAACAGACCAGAAACAAAAACCACTGTCTCTAAATATACATAACATTGTTGTCTACACGAAAATCCCAGAAAGTTTTTTAAAAAGCTCCTAGAAGTACCAAATGTAAGAATCAAGCCAATAATATTCCTATATACTATAAATAAACAATTGGAATTTGAAATAAAATAAAAAATACCTTTATAATAACACCTCCCTCTCCCCAAATGAAGTACTTAGGTATAATTAATGACTTCTTACAAGTTTTAAAAGCAAAGTCATTTCTATTGTTTAAAGCCAAAATATGCAATTAACCCATGCAACTAACCAATTAATTTTAGTTCTAAAGTTTAGCTTTGAATCCTTAATACTTTAATGTCAATCTCTTGAAAGTGTTCATTTTTACAACAATCAAAAATCTCAGAAAACTAATGAGTTTTTAGAAAAAATATCACCACCTGTTCATGTTCAGTACCAAAATCATCATCCTCTGCTCCAATAATATGAGGTGTTATATGGGTTGAGGGACTTCCGACGAGTAATTGAGTATCCTGGTAATATTCAGAAAAAAGAAACAGAAAAATTATCTAGTCATTATATTCAGAGACAGGATAAAGCCAAACCATCAATATGGTTCACTAAATAGATGGGATTTCTTCTTACTTATTTTCTTTATGTACTTTATTTTCAAAGAAGTACTTCTCAAATTTCAAGGCCATGAACCACTGTAGCAAGAAAAACTACAAGGGTACTTGATCTTTTCTTGTGGGGAAAATAATATTTCCCCTGGAAATAATAAACATTCTTTGCTCACTACGCCCTTGGTTATCTGATTATCACACTCTCTGTATATTTCACTGATTGTATCATACAAATCTAAACGTTACAGAAAAAAATTAGCTTATTTTAAAGAGTGAATGAACAAACAGGACAAAGGAAAAATGAGAATAGAAATGCTAAGACAAAGTCAGTAGAGGTTAATACAAAGATTTCTATTATTGGCACATACTGAAAGCTGTCACTAAACTCTACTTTTCATTCTTTTACATATGTGCATAATGCAGGGTTTTTCAACCCTGGCACTGTTGATATTTTGGGCCAGATAATTTGTTGTGGGAGCTGTGCTGTACACTGTACAATATTTAGCAGCATCTTTGCCCTCTACCTACTAAACGCCAGTTAATAGCCTCCCAATCATGACAATCAAACACGTTTCCAAACATTGTGAAATGTCCCCAGGGACAGAAATCACTCCTGGTTGAAAATCACTGGCACAATGCAGAATAAAATTTAAAATAATCACATAAAAAACTGCTATAAAAACAAAGATGACAAAAGTAAATTACAAATCTCATTCCATGCAACAGATCATCCCATTTATCAACTCACAAAGTAAAATTAGCATGAAAAAGGCACTGTAGAGGCATTAATGTATAATGTAGAAAATATGGGATGTTTGAAGATCACAAATATTAAAATTGAAAACCACAGAGCATTACGATAAAAAAAATTTTGGAAGAAATAGAAAAGAATGAGTTTGTCTTAAATCTGGCAGCAACTGAACATGCAAGATCTATCTGTAGCTGAGCAAAGAGAGTGAGTCTATAATCATTTGGGAGTCATGCAAACTAGCTACAGCTGAAACTATGAAATGGATCCAACAAATTATTAATTAACTAAATGACATGTAACTGTTGTTTCTCCTCTTTAAGTGTTATCCCAACACTATGTATTTGCATCTCCTAAACTTAATTTGGCTTTTTTTACTACTTTTTTTTCCAGAAACATATATTTTTGTTTTTTATTTATTTTTATTGTATTTTTTGCCATTACTGTTTATCCCCCTTATATCCTTTTTCACCTTTACTCTGCCCCTACAATCTCCACACTGTTGTCAGTGTCCGTGAGTTCTTTTTCAGTTTTGCTCAATCCCACTACTCCCCAACTCCCACCCTGGAGCTGTCATCCTGCTCCCTATCTATTAGTCTGTCTCTTTTGCTTGTTAGTTCCATTTGTTCATTAGATTCCACATATGAGTGAAATCATATGGTATTCCTCTTTCTCTGACTGGCTTGTTTCACTGAGCATAATGTTCTCCAGATCCATCCCTGCTATTGCAAAGAGTGAAATTTTATTCTTCTTTACAGCCGGGTAGCATTCCATTGTGAAAAAGACTACTTGTTTTTAAACCACAAGGTTTTAATAATTTGAGAAAAAAATCAGGTGAAATAATACCAAGGTGTATACAACAGTAGTAGTTAGACAATTTTGATTTTATAGTTCATTTTGTTTCTCTAATTTTTCAATATGTTGCTAATAATCAATGCATCATAGTATGACATTAAGCTTTTTACTATAAAAGTTTATACAACTGTAATTAAAAAATAAAATCAAAATGCTAAAAGTATATTTCCATTTCTAGGTATACACCCAAAAGAACTGAAGGAACTTGAACAGATATTTGTACAGCCATGTTCATAGTAGTATTATTCACCACCACCAAAAGACAGAAACAACCCAAGTGTTCACTGACAAATAAATGGATAACAAAATGTGGTGTATACATACAATGGATTATTATTCAGCCTTAAAAAGGAAGAAAATTCTGACACATGCTACAACATGAACGAACCTTGAATAACATTATACTAAGTGAAAAAGGCAGGTCAACAAAAGGACAATTATTGTATGATTCAACTTATACGAGGTTTCTAGGGTAGCCAAATTTATAGAAACAGAAAGTAGAATGGTGGTTGCCAGATGCTCCAGGGAAAGGATAATCTGGAGTTAGTGTTTAATGGATACCAAGTCTTAGTTGTGGGAAGATGAAAAAGTTTTAGAGATGAATGCTATGATGGCTGCACAACATGAATGTAACTTAATGTCAATGAACTGTATACTTAAAAAATAATTAAATGGTAAATTTTATGTTATGTATATTTTATTACAACAAAAAAAATTAAACCACCTGATAACACTATGGAGTAGCTCTCCATTTACCAAAAAGTTTATTAAGTTCCTTGAAAGTTTAAGCTTGCTCTAAAAAAAAAAAAGAATATACAATAGGAGATATGTTTGTCACTTTAAGTATAAGGAAAACACTATTACTTTATAGATTTCATACTCACAGTGTCCTGGATTACTTCCTTTTTCTCTGGGTTTTCCTCTAGATAAATCTTCTCTTTCAGGCCACTCTTAGGACTCTAATGGAAAAAAAAAAAAAAGATACTCAGTTCATTTCAACTGGCTCACCAGAAAAAAAATGTGTGTGGAAAAATAATCTTCTGAATTTCATATATGTACTTAAGACTACTAAATATCTTTCATACAATACCTGGCTCTGCTTCTTTCTTGACTTTGGCTAATCACTTATTCTCTCAGCTTTTGTATTGATTAAAACAAAACAGAACCGATAGAGCAATTTTACTACAACTCCAGGCCTGAGGGAATACTTCTATCAAATAACTGTAACTAGATTACATATCTCAAACTCACTATGTCAAAATCAATCTCTATCTTTAACCATCTCCTTTAATTTCCTGTCCCGAATTATTCTTTTTATCCAAGTTAAAAGCATTTAGGACTATTTATATGAATGAAATTAAGCTTCTATCTATTTTGCTGTTTCCACCTCATACAAAACTGATGTAGGGATTTTTATAAAATTTATATGGTTATATTTGCAATGACCTAATATAAAATATAAACTATTTGATATGCAGAACTTCAATTCTGGGGGATGAGATAATATCCTAAAGCAATAGGAGTCATTCTTCAGAGCAGCTGAAAATGAGGCACATGAGATTTTTGTATGAATGCCTACAGGAAAGATACACACTATCTATACATATACCAATATACCATAGGATAGAGAAAACAGTAAAGCTACTGAAGCTACTGGTGAGTCATGTCAAAAGAATAGAGAAGACAGTTTGAGGAGACTCTACTGGCCAAAAAAGGAGCAATTTAAGTATCAAAAAGAATAATGATTGCAATGGACTGAAACACAGTAAACAAATATGTTAAAATCTATGAATTCAAAATATTATACACATGTGGGAGTGTCCATGCACATCCCTACATTGGTAGCCTTTGGAGTTTGTTAGGGTACCAACACTTCCGGAAACAGGTACATAAAATAATTAAGCATTTATCCCACATGCCCTGTATAAGCTATATTTTATGCCAATCTAAAAACTATTGTAATATGGAAAAATTATTCTTTACACAATAATTCTGTCTAATATATACAGAAGTGACAAAACTATAATATGATAATTTTGAAACAACTAATTAAATTATGGATACAGGCATTTTGACCATCAATGGTTGGTAAAAACATGGGATGAAAACTTAATAGAGAACTATAATGAAAGAATCATGCCGACATCATCTGAACACCTTAAACAAACTTAAAGTTTCTCTTTCTCCTTCCCTCTCTCTTTCACACACACACATCCCTAGATATTCAGCACCTGATGTGATGTAATAGGATGTACACAGTAGCACCCATGAATTGTTCTTAACAAACAATTCTCAAACCTTAATCTGATCAAGACTCGATCTCACTATCAATTTTCAGAAAACATACATGGAGGAACATGTTAAATAACACCATGAAAATATAGTTACTGGACATAAGATCCAGTTTCTTTAAGAAAATATGGCAATGGGAAAAAAAGTGAACTATTACAAATTCAGTGAACTTTATTAAATCCTAATTCAAATAAACCAACTGCAAAAAGATCTTTATAAGACAATTAGGGTAATCAAACTGTGCCTTAAGAAAATATTAATTCTTAAGATCTGATAATGGTAATATGGCTAAATTTTTAAGTCTTTTCTCTTATAGATGTGTATTAATGAAATAATGTCTTGGATTTTACTTTAAAATAATCCAGTATTTATAGAGTGAAGAATGGGGGTTATAGACAAGTTTGAGCACCTGTTGATGATTGCTGAGGCTGGGCAGGAAGATTCATGCTAGTCTCTACTTTTCAAAGTAGCTTCTCAGCTTCTCTTTTGAGAACTGGGTATGTGGGTATTCTTTAAAATCATGTTTGAGGTGAACAAAAGCAGGGAATTTTACGATGTATATGATAATAGCACAAACACCACAAGGAGATAGATTATTTTATAAAGTGAGCAGAAAATGGAAAAAGAAAATTAAAAGCATTGATTTAAAAGATAAAAACACTGATTGGTTCCTACGATCTTAATACAGTTCAACTGAAATAAGCATGGCAACCCATTAGCTAAAGCTAATCTTAGCACATCTTAGCTTCAAACAGACATGTGTAGAAATTAAGTTAGTTTGTTACGTTTTCAGTAAATATCCTAGTCTACACTATATCAATTCTTGCCTGGATTTCTACAATATCTATTTACGTATTTGGTCTCAGTTTCCTGGTTTATAAAATGGCGATATTGCTTCTTGAAGATTATTATGAGAGCTAAAAAAAAGTATCTGTAAAGTATTAGATACAACTGCTGACGAAAAGGCAGATATTCAATAAATGGTAACTTTATTAGCCATTCAACACACATTTAAGTTCCTATTAAGCCAAGTAGTCTTCTTTTCTTACAGATCTCCAATTCCTTACTCCACTTCATTTTCCATACCGACGTGTTTCTGACATGTTATACCTCTCTTTTGACTACAAGACAAAACCCAAACTCCTTAATCATTCATTTTGCTGTCCGTTCAAATACATAATAAACACCAATCACATGTCAAACAGTCTGAATTCATTGGAATGTCTGCTTCCACACTTGCCAATGACTATTTTATAAAGTTATATATCAAAGCCATGGATTTTATAGTAACATTCCTTTAAATATAAGATAAAATTCAAATTTTTCTTTCCTATCATTTGTTCTAAATTTGTATAATCTGCCAGGCTTTGGAAACATAAAAGAAAGAACCCCTGGTAAAAGTAAAAGTAGAACCCCTGTGCTCTAAGAAATTTTCTATCTAATGATAGAATCAAGCCATGAAAACAGAGAGGAAAAGTAGCACTAAAATAAAAAGGAGAATATCAGAAGGATTCCCAAAGGCAATACTGCTAGAAAAAGTTGAAGCCCTGGACTCAAGACTGTTTCTAAAATAAACTATAGCTATTTCCTCGATAACTCTGATATACCAGTAAAACTTTTCTGCTTTTCCAAAATGTTATGCATTTTCATACAAAAGTGCTTTTGTTTATATTTAGTGTACTGGTACTTTGCAGCTGAAGTAGAGGCAGATCACTTAATACCAGAGTAAGTTCGGCTAGTTAGTTAACTCCACTTGGCCTCAGTGTTTTCTTCTCTAAAGTTATGATAAGTGATAAAAACAGCACTACATCACATGGCTGTTTTGATAATTAACTAAGATGAGGAATGTCAAACACTTATAGCATATGGTATTTATGCCCAATAAATGTTAGCTATCAAACTTTTTTCTTGAGTCATAATTTTTTCATCAAAACCTTTAGCCTATCCAATTATTACAATTAGCCTATCCAATTATTACAATCCTAATACCATCTTTCAAAAATAAATAAGTAAAACCTTGTATTTTCTCTTGATGAGGAAGTGAGTCTTTGGGCCTAAGTCTCAAAAGGTGGCTACAATGATGGCTTAAACCAGCAGCTTCTCTCTCTCTCTCTCCCCGCCCCCCCCCCCCCAACCACAATCTTCAGGAAGAAATTTTACATTGCTACTCAGCATATGTGGGTGTATCTCTGTGTATGTGTGTATACATACATTCACATGTACGGGGGGAGGACCTAAAAAAACCTAGAACTTATTTATAAAAAATTGTGTATCTATTCTTACATAGTTAAACTTCAGTCACCTTCAAAGTACTCTCCATTTAATAAAATACACCTACTGAAGCATTTTTCCCACTGCTCAAAGAAGTTTTCGATTATGATGCATTTTAGTGCTCCTGCCATTTTTTGTTTCACCTCTTCTAACATCAGCAAACTGTTTCCTCTGAAGTACTTTTTTCACCCTGGGAAACAAAAAAGTCACTCATGGCGAGATGGGGTGAATAGGGAGGGTAGGGCATGGGGGTCATGCTGTTTTTGGTCAAAAACTGCTGAACGGGGTTAGGAAGATGGCAGTGAGGTAGGTGGGAGCTGAACCCATTTGGCTCATGCACCCAACTGGGACACCTAGTCGATCTTCTGAGGAACTGAGTCCCAGTTGATAGGAAGTTTGGAAGCCAAAGGTTGCAGAGGACACTTAAAAAGGGATGGTAAGAAGATTTATAGGCAGACAGGGAAGGTCTCCAGGCCTTGCCCCAGAGACCTCAGCTGCCACAGGAGCACTGGAGGAGAGGTGAGTCAGTGATCGCAACTTAGTGACTCCCTCCCCTCCCACAGCTGGGGAGATACAGACCAGAGCCAGGAGGAACAGGATGCTTAAAGTCATTGGTGGAATAAAGAGGCAGCAAGAGACACACAGTCATCAGCATAAACCCACTGGGGCGGTGGTCACCGGCTAGGACAGTACCAGATAAATTGGGGAGCTAGGTGACAACTGGAGCTGGGAGAAGAGATGGGCCATGACTGGCTGTGGCAAAGACAGATTCTGGACTGGTCAGAGAGTTGGTCTGCGTGGAAAGCCAGGCACTTGTTAAGAATGGCAGGCTGTACCCCCAAGGGGTCTTCTCTAAAACGAGGTTCTCAGCCACTGTGCAAGGAACTCGGGGGCACACAAACTAGCTCGCAAAGGGTACTCGCAGGCACAGCAGCCAGGACAGCAAAGAAAGAGGAGTGGGAACACGATTTGCTCCCAGGCAGGGTGCCTCGTGGACTGATCAAAGGGAAGGAGCTGGGGCTCCGAGAGGCAGCATTGCCCAAAAAGACTCCTTTCACTAGGGGAATTGAGCTGCCCTGAAGGGACTTTGTGCACACCCAGAGCACCCAGCCAAACAAAAGGGGGGGGGGGCCGCTATTTGCTCCCACTCAGTACACCTCACCGACTGATCAAAGGGTTGCAAAACCAGATGGATTATTGGTGCTGGCCTGGCTCATAGGCGCAGAGTGGACTGTGCGGGCAGCACAGCGCTCTGAGGGCGTGGGCTGGAATGTGGAAACCTGTGATTACTGTAGCCCAGACTGGGCACCATTCTCCTAGAACCACAGGAAAGGAAAAAAAATGAGCCAGTCACACTTTGTCTGCCTGTAGGATCCTGGAAGACCAGCAAAACCCG